TAGGTATAGGTTAGACATATATTTTTATGTATGTCAAACAATGCAGACATATACAGAGAGATCTGCTTAAAAGTCTTGAAATATATTTATACAGATACACCAGGTACTTGTTTACTGTAATGGAGAGAATGCCTGACTCTGAACTAGGTTCTATATCTTTATTTTAGTATTGTCATCTCAAAAGGAGGGAGTTGGTCTTGGTGATCTCCAGGGTCCTCTTTAGCTTGCTCTAAAATCCTTTGAGTAAGTGACTATAATGGAATTTTTAGCCTAATTCCAATACTAAGTGTTTTGCCTTTTAGTTAAAAAGCAGAGTAATACTGCTAATGAACCAATGCTTTCATGCACCAGTCATTGCCCTAAAAAGCTTATCATTATAAAATGTGACTGCAGGTTTGTTTTTTGTGTAAGTTCTGTGTTGGGACTCACTTTCATTCTAGAGAGTGACTTAGTTCTTTCTAGAAGAGGTCTGAGTTGCTTGAATCTGAACTTGAACCCTGTGGTGAGCTTGATTTTTCTCTTTAATATACTGCTTTTTGAAAAGCAATTTTTCTTTCCCTGGCCTTAGCAGCTCCTTGCACATAACAGGCACTCAATAAATATTTATTGAATTGAATTGAATTTGACCTGCTTAGAAGGCACAGTCCTGGTGTAGGGTTATTCATTTTCGGCAGGAGGTGTCATAAATCACAGAGTTTAATACTAATCCACCTGATGAACTACACGCTCAGCGGCATATGGTAGCTCAGCATTGAATGTTGCACGTTCCTCAGTGCAAACTGAGAAAACTATGTGACCTTTAAGGGCCTTGATGAACTGACCTCTAGCTGATTTCAAATCTACTTGTACCACTCACCCATGGGTATCCTGTGTCCCCACGTTTTTGAATGACTGCGTTGACTCTGTTCTTCACACACCGCACACTCTGGTTCCTCTCAAAGCTTTGCACACCCCTTTGCCTGTAATATTTCTTTTACACATTCCGTATGCCTTTCTTAACACTCCCATGTAGCCCTCTGTATATCCTGTTTTGCAGTGCTCAAATTCTCCTGTAATTCTTTCCTGAGCTACTAGTCTTTTTCATTAGAAAACTCTTGGAGGACAGGTCTGTGATTTCTCTTTTTCTGTATCCCCTAGGACCTGAAATAGTGCCTGACACAAACATTTGTAGAATTAAAAAATGGGTCCTGAAGTTCATGTAAATTTGCAAATGGGATAAAATAAAAATGTAAATGAGTTTAGCTAGGAATCATTAATTATATGCCTGATTCTAATTAAATTGTGATATAGTTAGAAAAAAAGATCAGCCTGAAATTCAGAGGATGCAGGCTCTTGTGTTGGATTAATGACTTTTTAATAGTCCCTTAATCTTTGTAGTTCTTAGTTTCTTTATCTGAAAATGAATGGATTGGACAGGATCTTTACTGAGATCTCTTAGAGCAAGAATTGCCTTGCTCCTAAGTTAATTATAGAGAACTAGGTCTCTTCTGCCAGGCTCCTTGAGGCAGGAAGTATGTTCTAATCATCTATAATTTCCTGGCACAACCTCAGTACTTGGTATAGTAGTTGTTCAAACAATGTTACTGAATAAAACGATAAATGCCCAGAGAGAATTATGAGTTAAATAAAGCAAATGAGAAAAAGGTCAGGTAGATAATAGTAAATTAAAAATGTGTAACATTTAAAAGAATCTATTAAAGAACAGTTATTTGGAATGTCTGAAAAAAAGTACCTGGGAGAAATTTTTTATTTATCAGTTAAAATATTCAACAGTGGAGGAAATGAATTTGAAACTGCCTAGTCCCCTAACTACAAGTTGTTAATAATTTATTGACATGTTGTACCAAGTTTTGTGTTGCTGAAATTTAACTGCTCCTGCTGTATGTAGGATGTTGGTCGTGATATTTTTGAAATTTGTGCATACTTGTGATACCGTGTTTTAGTTTTAAGAATTGAAAAACTATATCCGATTTCAGCCAGGTTTTGTTAAACCATTGACCTATTTGTGACTTCCTCAGTCTTTAGGGGAGAAGGAACTTCTCTGATTATATGAAAATGTCATAAAAAATAAAACATGTGTGAAAAAGCTTCAGCAACCTTTTCAAGTGTACTTTTGTAACAATTTGGCATTATTTGATAAATTATTTGCTGTGTGAACTTTTCTATTTGTTTAGGAGATCAAAATAATGTTTATGCCTATACCTTTGGGTTATTGATTTAAATACCAGTGTAGTTTAATCATGAAAATAAGGAAGTAGTATAATCATACTATTTCTGTATTTTATGTATATATATATGTAGTATGCAGTATTCCATAATCAATCAGCCATACCATCTGTGTATCCATTCATTAGTTCTGTGCTATATGTTAGACATTTCTGTTTTAGGCACAGAGGAGGAAGATATGAGAAGGCCTTCAGTGAGTGTGAGAAACGGTTGTCTTAAATCTGGGGCTCATCCTTGATAGTTTGACCAAGATTCTTCTCCCCACAAAAAAAATTATATGGTTATTTATTTTAAAAAAGCAAGTGAGAGCAAGTTTAAGAGTGCTTTTTTTGATTTGTTGTTTTCTTGATTTAAAAAAATATTTTTATTGATTTTTTTGTTTAGAGAGAGAGGAAGGGAGGGAGAGAGAGAAAGAGAAACATCAGTGTGAGAGTGGAACATCAATCGGCTGCCTCCTGCACACCTCCGACCTGGGATCGAGCCTGAGACCTGGGCATGTGCCCTGACCAGGAATCGAACCAGCAACCTTTTGGTGCACGGGACAATGCCCTACTAGCTGAGCCACCCCAGCCAGGGCTCCTTGATATTTTGTTTGTGATTCTTGAAACTATTATTGTTCAACTGCTATTTGGCCCAGGTACTTTTATGAGTACCCAGCAGTGGATCCAAGTTTTGTGGAAACTGAAAGTTGGAGGGTCCTTTTAATAAAAAAAAAAAACAAACACAAAAAAAACCAAAAACAAAAGTATAGCCTGGCTGGGTGTTGCTCAGTGATTGAGCATTGACCTAGGATCCAGAAGATCGTGATTCGATTCCCGATCCCGGCACATGCCCAGGTAGTGGGCTTGATCCCCAGTCAGGGGCCTGAAGGAGGCAGCGGATCAATGACGACTCTCTCATCATTGATGTTTCTCTCTCTCTGTCTCCCTTCCTCTCTTCCAAATCAATAAAGATAGATTTTAAAAAAACCAAAAAACAAAAACAAAAAACAAAACCATTAAACTTTTTAAAAAAAAGATACAACAAAAAAACCAAAAGTATAAATACAAAATTGGGTATGAAGGTGAATTTTCTTAGAACAGTAAAGTTACAACAAGTTATACTTTAAAAACATGACAAATTCACACATATCAGGGAACTGAGTACACTTTATACTTGGATTCTCTTCCGTTGTCCACATCATCTTCCAGCTCTGGGTGCCACCGGACACATTCAGATGACCTGATTTGACCTGGACCTTCCTGGTCCTGTTGCTGGGCTAGTCAGCACCATGGGCACTTGAAGCATTCCTGAAGCCATTCTTTTATCACTACTGCTGACAATAATTTAACCAGCTCCAGAAGTGATGGTGCACTTCACACATACCTTCCGCTAAAGCCAAACCAAATGTGTCTCCAACCCAAAACCTAACTAGCCAGATTCCAGAAATGCCCATGGCTACTTCAGTGCCAGCTGATAGTGTGATGGAAGGAAAGGCATACTAGAAAAAGATGGCGATCTTAACCAGTTGTGTTTAAAATGTCTTGCTCTTGAGAATTTTACAAAAAAAACCCCCCAAAATGAAGGTCTTAGAAGAGAGCCAAGTATCTGAGGGACCCTCAAGTTTACGCCTCACTGGCTTCTCAGTAAATGTGCCTGTATGTGTCCATTTTGCCTTTTGTAAGAGTGTACACCTTCACACCCTATATGGTCTTGTGCAATTCCCAGTGCTTTCATTAAATAATTAATTGGATGGTTCCTCATATCCTGGTTCAAGGGGTAAAGAATGAGATGTGTTAATTTTGAGTGAGTCACATGAACATGTGGAAGTGAGCACAGTAGTTGAATTACTCTGTTTTCTTGCCAGCAGGAGGTTTTTTCAGTTCTGCAGGCCCTAAACACCCCAGTGGTTGTGTGGCACCTGACGGAATGCCCAGACCGTTACCCGGTGGCAGGTTTATAGGCACGGGAGATAATCTGGGGAGGTGGAAAAGACTTGTTCCAACCCGACACCCACTTACCACTTAGTGACTCAGCTGTTAAAACTGCACCCCTTTGTTTCATTCTCCTCAGGGTTGGAAACAATGCACCAAAACATTAATTAAAGTCTCTGAAAGCATTTTAGCCAGGAGTTCATTGTGGTAGAATAATACATAAATGCGAGGCATTGGTAACCGGCAGAAGAGGCTCATTTCCTCATTTTTATTTTAAAAAGAGACTGTTAGTGGTACTCAATAATGAGCACCCTGGAGTTCTATTAAGCCGCGAACAATGAGACACTGTAGAAGGGAGTACGACCACTTTAGGGCTTGGAAGTAAAGGTATGACATTAAAAAGGAAAACTGAGCAAAAAACCCCCGAAACCAAAAATCTCATGCACACACAACAGTATGGTGATCACCAGAGGGAAAGTGGAGTGGGTGGAGGCAAGAGAAGGTGAAGGAGGGATAAACGGTGGTGGAAGGAGACTTGATGGGGTGGTGAACACCCAGTTCAGTATACAGATGATGTATTACAGAATCGTACTCCTGAAACCTGTATAATTTTATTAACCAATGTCACCCCAATAAATTCAATGGAAAAAACCAAATGGGAGAAGAAAATAGGATTACTTGTATTAAGATAGGTGCAGATATTTGTCAACTCTTTTTCGATTGGGGTTGGTAATTTCAAGATCGAAATTTGTATGATGGAAAGTGAAGAAATTGTACATAGTTCACTAAGTTGCTCAGTTTTTCTGCGAACGAAGGTATTGTGGTTCACACGGAATGTTTTATTTTTGTCTTTGTTTTTAGGTCAGACTGTGCCAAAATCCCAAGCTTCAGTTGAAAAACAGCCCACCATATATACTTGACATTTTACCTGATACCTATCAGCATTTGCGACTTATATTGAGTAAATATGATGACAACCAGAAACTTGCCCAGCTCAGTGAGAATGAGTATTTTAAAATCTACATTGATAGTCTAATGAAAAAGTCAAAGCGGGCCATACGACTCTTCAAAGAGGGCAAGGAGAGGATGTATGAGGAGCAGTCGCAGGACAGGTGAGAATATTTCTGGTTTTACTTCTTAGCCTTAAGGTCATCTGTGTTGCTCTTTGTTTCACAGGTCATAAATGTCACCATGCGTTTGTACTTGGGGAAATGTCATTTTATTTGTGTATTTGCTTCTCACATTATTGAAACCTTGTAGTTCTACAAAAACTTACGATAATAGCTCGTTTGTGAGACAGTGTTCTTTAATAGATATTATATTTTAGAGCAGTTTTAGATTTACAGAAAAATGACTTGGAAAGTACAGAGTTTTCATATACCCTTTCCTCCCACATTCAGTTATTCCTATTATTAATATCTTGCATAGTGTGGCACATATGTCACAGTTGATGAACCAATATTGATACAGAATTATTAACTAAAGTTCATGGTTTATATTAGGGTCCATTCTTTGTGTTGCACAGTTCTGTGGGTTTTGACAAATGTATAATGTCATGTACCTTCTATTACAGTGTCATATTAGGATAGTTTCGCTGCTCTAAATATACCGTGCTCGTCTCTATGGTTTAACCTTCTTAGAAAGTCATATGATGTTGAGCCCGGGCGGGCATGGCTCAGCGGTTGAGCATTGACCTGGGATCCAGGCAATCGGGGTTCGATTCCCGGTCAGGGCACATGCCCGGGTTGCGGGCTCGATCAATGACTCTCTCATCATTGATGTTTCTACCTCTCTCTCTCCCTCTCCTTTCCTCTCTCTGAGATCAATAAAGATATATTAAAAAAAGTCATATGATGTTGATACCACCTAATAATGTAACATTTTCAGACTGGCTTCTTTCACTTAACAATCTGCATTTAAAGTTCCCCCATGTCTCTTCATAGCTTGACAGCTCATTTATTTTTATCACTGAAGAATACTAATTACATGAGTATGCCACAGTTTACTTACTCATATATCTGTTGACGGACATCTCAGTTCCAATTTTTGGCAATTATTGATAAAGCTGCTATAAATATTCATATATGGGTTTTTGTGTGGACATAAACTTTTAACTCATTTGAATAAATACTTAGGGGCATGATTGCTTGATCTTATGGTAAGCATATGGTTAGCTTTGTAAGAAACTCCCAAACTGTTTTCCAAAGTGGCTGTCAAGTTTTACATCCCCGCCGGTAGTGAATGAGGGTTCCTGTTTCCATTTGATGTTGGAGACACTGTCTTTAAGACAGTCTTGATTGAAAGTGTGGGTGTGATAGATGTAGGTGGGAGATATAGCTTCAATTCTCATACTTGTCCATTAAGTGAGAAACGACTGGGGTGGAAGAGATATCAACTGACTCCTTATTTTGTAGTCATAATTCTCTTGACTTAGAGACTCCTCATTAAAATTTGTCGTTTGGCTAATTTAATGTTAAATTTTCTGATCTACCTTAAACCAAATAAAGAAAATAATAAAAGCTTTTTATTTCTGGGATATTTTAAATATATTGAGGATATTCACTGGTAGTGCTACTTTCCTTAGTTTTCAAACTGAAAAACAAAAACAGTATTAATTTAAATATATAATGTCTTAACATAGTTAAGTTGAATTTCAGTTTAAGATGCGTAACCTCTGTGGATTTTTTTTTTCTTTTATATATATAGAAAAATCTCTAAAAAATCTCTTTCTTTCAGATCGAAAAAAGTAGCCCAATGAAACATAGGATTGTATAAGAAAAAATTCATTTATCTAGGTATGCAGACTCTGAATTTGTCTGTAAATACTAGCCAAACAAATAGCCTAGAGTGAGTAAAACATCTGGTTCAAACATAGAAAAACCCTCTGCCAAATGTAAAATGGCATAAAGATTTACTTATTTCTAATTTGCTCTCTAAATTAGTTATGAACCCTAACATAATCATAGGAGTCTAACCAATTATGGAACTGTGGGTTCATCACTTGATATTCTTGGACCACAGTTTACATATCTTGAGGGCGGTAAATCATCCAATTGCCTTTTAGCTTTAAAGCTCTTAAGACTCTCTCCAGGACTACCCAGGGGAATTTGGATTGCCACAGGGAGCTAGAAGTAAGGTAGAGACACAGCGCAGTGATTGTTTCTTCTTAGAGAGCTTTCAAGGATGGCCAAGATACCAGAAGCCAGATGTTTGTTTAAAACTGTATTTTCACTTTGTAGATAGATCTTCCATTGATCTAATAAAAAAACTAAGTTGTTTTAGAAATATCTCTATAGTTCTTATTCAGATTTAGTAGCCTTGAAATTTTTCCTGGTCCAGCAAGGTAATCCATTAAATTTTACATTTTAAGGTGTTAGGACAGTGAGAAAGTGTGTAACTTCTAGGTCTAGGAATTTGAGTTGATACAGTGTTTTAATTTATTATATTAATACATGATGTGTTAAACTTGTATTCCACTTTTACATCTTCTATAGTAACTTGAAACATTTTTTCACGCATTAGATGTCTTGTAAACAACCATTTCATTTATAAATTTTGATATTTTTGGCTTTTGTGTAGGAGCATATCATGGGGGCTCTATAAATTTTAGTTGCTTGTGTATAGATTTCCATAGATGAAGATAGATTGCATAATGCTGACTATGTTGAGACTACTTTTTAAATACTGTTGTTTAAGTGTCCAAGTAAATTTTGTCACTCTCCTAAATTCAACCCTAAGACAAAGTTTATTAGTTTCTGTGCTGGTCTAGCATTCCTAATTGGATTTTACTGTCATTCGTGTCCCATATTCTGATAATGTTCTGTGGCCAGTTGTTTTTATGCAAAACTTACATTTGATAAGCGTCGAATCATAATTCATAATGGACCGTTTTGATTTATGGTATCTTTTGGTAGAAATTCGTTTTTACACATTCACTTGCAGATTCCCTTAGAATTCCAAATGCGAGCTGAGGGTAAAGTGTGCCATTGTATATGGAGCTCTTGGCATTTTTCTCTATAGAATATAAAATAAACTATTAAAAATGTTATCATAGTTGTTAGGCAACAGAGTATTCTAGTTGGTAGAATGACTCTTATCTAACATGTATGACACACTAATTATTGGGAATATTATAAATTCCCTGAACAATCTTTTTAATTATGCAAATAGTGTCACTAAAGACATTAGTACTATTAGGCTAAAAATACAAGGCAGTCATAGTAGAAATAGTAATTTGGAATTCATTGACTAAACCAGTATTTTCTCTAGTGATTTGGTACTTTATTGAAGAAAATTATGCTGGATGAGTACATGAATCAAAATGTTTATTTTAATGTTCTTGTATAAAAATAAACTGTGACTTTGTTTTAAATTAAGGGCAAATAGGTAAAATTCAAGTATCAATTTTGAACCAGCTCTGTTTTAATGAGTAGCCTGAGTTTTTGAAGCAGTTCAACATACATGTGATAAAAATATGAACAAATAGAAAAATAAATATGGCAAATGGCACAGAATGTATTTCCTGTATAGAAGGCAAGAGGCAGGAATTACAGGGAAGTGTGTTTACTACTGAGATAGGAAGGAAGGGCACACCGTGCGAGCCTCTTGCTTTGAGAATGGGTGGTAGAGGCAGGCTGCGTGCCTTGCTTGACTTTTACAGTAAAGCTCTTCTTTCTCTAGGCTCCCTTTTCCCCAGTGTTTCTTTTGTTTTCTCCCTACCTGCAATTGAACCTCACACTGAGTTAGTGCTTCCCCAGCTGAGTGCCTAAACCATTCTGAGCGGATATTTCTGGGAAGAGTAATTCAGTGATTTTTGGCACACAAAGTTTTGTGCCTATCTCTGGGGTGGGGGTTGGGGATCTGTGGAGAAGGGAGAATTTACAGTTTGAAGCACAGAGAAGAGAAACTTACCATATTGCTTCAAGTTTTAGTGGCAAAAGCAAAATGGGTGTGAAAGTAGGCAGGGGTAGCTGACAAATGCTAACACTGATGGAGGTGCCTTCCTTCAGTGACTTCAGTGGTGGCTTCATCAGATGACCATTTTACTAGTGAATTGTACTCTTTCATATAAAAAGTTATGCATTAATCACAGGCTCTGCAAGGCCTGGTGTGGGACACTGTTTTTAAGAACACCCAGAGGTGATGGTCTAATAATATTCACATTTTCCATGTTTTAGAACTGCTTCAGTGAACCAGAGCGCTATAACCCATTTTTTTCCCTCCCACACACTGGTTTACAACCCCTGAAAAAAAAAAACAAAAGTCAACTGAGGTGTTAAATAGCTCTGTGTTTGAAAACCTATCTGTGAAGAAAATAAAGGCTTTTAAAATATTTGTGCCAGAGAGTAATACATAGCTATTGTGTTATCATTAATGTCATTTCAAAGCCCGGGGCCATTTCTTATGCACATGTATTGTACAAAACAAACCATAGTTTGTATAGCTTGTATACTAATATTCCAATTAAGACGTGTTTTTAGAAGTATTTTGACATCAAAAGATTAGTTCTAGAAGATGATTGCCTTTATTTAAAATCTTTCAGGAAAAGATCTTTTCTCCATTGACATTGGACTGAAGAAAGAACAGAACAATGTATAACCTGTTCCATTAATCAAGTGCCTTTCCTCCTAAAGAGCTACAGATCACTATGCCTGCTGTTATGTCTGTTGTAATGAATGACCTAGTGTACCAAGAACACTGTGGAAGTGATGTATTAAAGATACGTGGTTAAGTTGAAAGTTAAAGAGCAACAACATTAGTTACAACAATAACAACAATTAAAGCAGCAACAAAACACAAGGCTGCAAACAAGCCTATTTTCTTTCCCGGTAGCACTGTATGACAACATTGCTTTGACCAAACAATAATGTTGCATTAATTTAAATATTTATGTACGTATAAACACAAAACATGTTGTTACATGGTCATCAAAGTAGTTCTGAAAATCCTCGTGGGTTTTCTGTTTAATAGCCTTGTTTGTAATGTCACTTAGTTCCACATTTTCTCCTAGGCAGCTCTTTACATATGAGAAGGAAGTGAGGAAAGAGTGCTGTTGAACTGAGTGCAAAAATATCATGGTCTGATGCCATTTCTGCTCCAAGTATTCTTTTTA